TCAGAAACTCCGAAGCTCTGAAATTCAGAAATTCCGAAATTCAGAAATTCAGAAATTCAGAAATTCAGAAATTCAGAAATTCAGAAATTCAGAAATTCAGAAATTCAGAAAATCCGAAATTCCGAAATTCAGAAATTCAGAAATTCAGAAATTCAGAAATTCAAAAATTCAGAAATTCAGAATATCTGAAATTCAGAAATTCCGAAGCTCTGAAATTCAGAAATTCAGAAATTCAGAAATTCAGAAATTCAGAAATTCAGAAATTCAGAAATTCAGAAATTCAGAAATTCAGAAATTCAGAAATTCAGAAATTCAGAAATTCAGAAATTCAGAAATTCAGAAATTCAGAAATTCAGAAATTCAGAAATTCAGAAATTCAGAAATTCAGAATATCTGAAATTCAGAAATTCCGAAGCTCTGAAATTCAGAAATTCGGAAATTCAGAAATTCAGAAATTCAGAAATTCAGAAATTCAGAAATTCAGAAATTCAGAAATTCAGAAATTCAGAAATTCAGAAATTCAGAAATTCAGAAATTCAGAAATTCAGAATATCTGAAATTCAGAAATTCCGAAGCTCTGAAATTCAGAAATTCAGAAATTCAGAAATTCAGAAATTCAGAAATTCAGAAATTCAGAAATTCAGAAATTCAGAAATTCAGAAATTCAGAAATTCAGAAATTCAGAAATTCAGAAATTCAGAAATTCAGAAATTCAGAAATTCAGAAATTCAGAAATTCGGAAATTCTATAATTTTAAAATCTTGAGATTTTGATATTCTGAAAATTATAAAATTCTGAATATACAAATTTAAAAAAAATCTGAAATCCTGAGATTCTGAAATTTCAGAACCAATCAAAACTTCTGAGCCCTTCTGCCTCTCCCCCACATGCCAAATTCCAATGGGCCAACGCTAAATACGTTGCTCTTCTTGGAAGACGTGGTAATTCCATCAAACAAGATGACGTCATCGGGATTCCGGATCTCGACGATGATGTGGATTTTGAATTCTACAGAAATTCTGGAAAAGGATACGTCGCGGAGAGATTTTCAGCTGGGAGAGACATCTCCAGAGAATCTCAAATGCCACGTGTCCCTGCTTCGTCTCCAGTAGACCCCATTGATATTCTGGAGAAGATGAGAAAAATGGATTTGTTCGAGAAGGAGCTGGAAGAGGTTGGGGTTTTCTAGGCCATGGGATATTTCTAGGCCATCATCCATTATTTTCAGAAGTTCTTGTCTGAAAATCCGTCTCTAAATGAGCAATTGAAAACCGCCAACGAGAAGATTTGTGACCTGGAAAATGAGATTTGCAAAGTAGGTCACCACAAACTTTTGGCGCCAAAGTTCAAATTTAAAAATTGAAAAATTCAAAGTTCCAGGTCCGTGAAGAGTGTGAGCACTGGAAGAATGGCTACGAAAACCTTTTGGAATCGATGAGCGATTCAAAAGGGTTTGGATAACACATCCAATTGCTAATTTCCGATTCAGCTACCGTAATCGATGGGAAAACAAACGATGAGCATATGTTTTTGGGTTTTATTGTGTGTGTGTGTGTGTGGGTGTTTGAATATTTTTTGATAGAATGAATGAAGGTTTTAAAATTTTACTTTGTTTTTTTTAAATGAAGGATTTGAAATGCCCTATTCCCTCAAAAATGGCAGCCTTTCAATTTTGAGCTCAATTATCTGGATTCTTGTGAGAGATATCAAAAAGTGATCAACTAATGAAATGTTTGCGATATTATGATAAACATTCTATCAGTTGACAGATTTTGCGATCTCTCATAGAAATTGGGATAATTGAGCTCGAAGTTGACTGTTTGGGTGTCTCTTCTATTTCAGGTTTTATGGTATAACGAGTCTGTTAATGTAAAGAACTGATTCTGAAATTTTGAAATTCCGGAAACGCGATATTTTTAAATTCTGGACACCTGAAAATTGGAAATACTGAAAATTCTGAATTTCTGAAATTTCTGAGATTCTGAAAGTCGAAAAATTTCGAAATACCTTAATACTGAAATTCTAAAATTCTGGAGTTCTGAAATTCTGGAACTCTGAAATTCTGGAATTCTGAAATTCTGAGATTCTGAGATTCTGAGATAATGAGATTTCAATATTTCGAAAAATCAGAATCTGAAATTCTGATATCGTGAAGTTCTGAAAAAAATGATCTGAAAGCCTAAAATCTGTAATTCTGGGAAAACGGAATACCCAAAATTCCAATTAATCTAGAAGTACTGAAAAACGATCTGAAAATTGAAACGTTTTGAAATCTTGAAATTTCGAGATTTCGACATCTGAAAGTGTTCAGGAATTTTGAAGCAAAACTTCTGAAAAATACGAAAAGCTGAAAATTTTTTATTACCGCAATATTAGAAAAAATCAGGACTTTGAGCTCAATTATCTAGATTCTTGTAAAAGGTATCAAAACTTTGTCAACTAATTAAATTTTTATCATAGTATCAACTACATGTTATTAGTTGGCATGTTTTTGTTATCTTTCACAGAAAACGAGATTATTGAGCTCAAAGTCAAGAGATTGGTCACGAAAAAATTAGATCATGAAAAAGATAAGTCATGAAAAAGTTAGGTAATGAAAAATGAGGTTATGAAAAAATTAAGTCATGAAAAATTAGGTCATGACCCAGAAAAACTAGGTCATGACCTAGAAAAAATTAGGTCATGACATAAAAATAATTAGGTCAGGATCTAGAAAATAATTAGGTCATGAAAAATTAGGTAATGAAAGAATTAGGTCATGAAAAATTAAGTCATGACCTAGAAAAAAGTTGGTCACGACTAGGAAAAAATTAGGTCATGACCTAGGAAAAATTAGGTCATGACCTAGGAAAATTTCGGGTACGTGGCGGTCGTGCGTCGCGTGTTTTAGCCAAAAATAAAAATCGAAGGAATTTGGTCGATTTTGGTCGTGTTTAGGTTCATTTCAAAGCTAAACACTTCAAAAATCGAGAAATCTAGTTTTTGGGTCAATTGGATCACTCTGAATCATGTTTCAGTTAAAAAAGTCAATTTTGCCAACAAAATTTTAAAAATTTCAAATTTTTTTGCAGTGGTCCAAAACGCTTCTCTTCTATTCCTAAACTCTAGGAGCCGCTGCGCTGCTCTGCTGCCAAGCGCGCCTTTGAGCTCAATCATCTCGATTCCTGTGAGAGATATCAAATTGTTGTCAACTGATAAATTGTTCATCATGATATGAGAAACATTTTATCAATTAACCGATTCCTGATATCTATTACATGAATCGAGATAATTAAGCTCGAAGTTGAAAGCTTAGGTGAGCTTCTATAATTGCTTATACGGTAAATGCATCATTGAAAAAAGTTGTTATAACTAGCGAAACTTTCTTTCCCGGTGTCTTGTCCATCCCACAAATAATTCTTCGTTCATTTTCTCCATGGCACTTCTTCTCGGCTTTCATCTGTTATCTAGATATCTTTATCGGAAGAAGGAGACAGCTGCCAGTAGAAGAATCGAAAAGAAACAAAACGACTACATCATCATGATACAATCATTATATGAACCAGTTGAATAAGAAATATTCAAGAAACATCTCTATCTTCCACTTTCTCCCCCGCTTCTTCTGATTCTCTCAATGAGATTCAAAAGAAGGCAAAATCGCCAAAACAATGACAAACCAACACGGGAGAGGATTCCCGAAGGCTGTATACCAGTTAGGGCAGCCAAAAAAAGAGAGGAAAATCTTGCATAAGAAGAAGAAGAAGAAGACCTCCTCCTGTTGCTTTCACCATCAAAAACATTCGGTCGCCCGGGAGAACACTTTCCTTTTTTAGAGAGAGATAGAAGACTCCACCCACCACCTTCACTTACTCTTACTCTCTCTCTAGCTTCGAGAACAATACAGAAGCCCGAAGGATCTCGATGTGCATATCCTGAGGAGTATACGGTAAGTCTGGGGTACTGTAAAAAGGTTACTGTAAGGCTTCGAGGTTTCTAGAAGATTCTGGAAATTTGTTATAATCATTTAGAAGTTATCGTTAGATCAGTGATTCCAAAAGATTTCAAAATTTAGATCCCCTGATCCTAATCACCTTAAACATTCCAATAGAACGCTCCACTTAACTTTCAACTTTGAGCCCATATATCTCAGTTCCTGTGAAAGATATCAAAAAGGTGTCAACTAATAAATTGTTTATCATAATATCAGTAAAATTTTATCAATTGACACATTTTAAATATCTTTCACAGCAAACTAGATAATTGAGCTCAAAGTTGACAGTGTAGGGGCCCTTCTATTTTACAGTATCTGTACTGGATCAGTGGTAGTCATAGGAAACTTTCAGCTGAATTCAAGTTCATAATATTGTTTAACGCTAGTAGTTTTACGCTAATAGTTCTAGAAGCTAGCTATGGATTTCTAGCTTCAGATGTCAGACTACGGATTTCGAGCTATTTATTTCTAGCTACGGATTTCTGGTTACGAATTTCTGGGTACAGATTTTTAGCTATGGATTTCTAGCTATGAATTTCTAGCTATGTATTTCGAAATATGGATTTTTAGCTATGAGTTTTTAGCTATGAATTTCTAGCTATGGATATCTAGTTCTGGATTTTTAGCTATGGGTTTCTAGCTATGGATTTTTGTGTACGGTTTTCTAGTTATGGATTTATAGCTTCGTATTTCTAGCTACGGATTTCTGGCTATGGATTTCTGAGGTCCACCTTCCCTTAGGATGAATTGCGGATTTCGTCTTTCTTGGATGGGAAGTTCAAAATATTAATAAAGTTTCTAAAGACATTGAATACTGTAGTTTTTTTGGTTTACAAAGTTTCCTAATTTCAAAAGAAAGCCAAGAAAATTCCAACCCGATCATACCGTATCGAAAATAAATTGTTTATCATGATAACACAAATGTTTTATCAGTTGACCACTTTTTCATATCTTTCACAGAAATCGAGATGAATTGGCTCAAAGTTGACGGTTGGGTAGGCATTATTTTTGAGTGTTTATGATAACTCAAGTAAATGCTCATTTTGAAGCTCTCATTGAGCCAAATACAAAATACGGTCTTTGAACGTTTGTCTGTGTGTCCTGAAGACTTTTGTTCCTTCCCTTCACTATATTTCAGGGATCAACTTTATGACCTAAAAAACCTCCATCCTCCATTTCTTTCTAGAACAATTTTGCTGAAATTCCATTGTTCCTATTTTCTCCACACTTTCAGCTTCTTCTTCTTCTCCTCCTTTCCACAAAATAACCAACTCATTGTTTCTTTCTTCTTTTTTCTAACAAGTACTTTTTGTTTTCTCTGTTTTTCTCTCTGATAGTTTCAAGAAAAAGGAAACAAGATCTCCAAAAGTGTGTTGTTTTGTCTGTATGTGTTTCTCTTTTTTGTTCACATTGCAATTCGTGAATAATTAATGGAAAAGAGAAAGAGAATGGAGAGAAAAAGTGAAACTGGAACAAATCATAAATATTTAAGAACGATTTTGATCAAAATGAATATTTAAATGTTTGAGTTTTAGCTCAATTACCGTGAAACATGAATCAGAAGGGATGGCTTCTTAATCGTCAACTTTGAGCTTAATTATCTTGGTTCCTGTAATAGATATCAAAAAGTGATCAACTAATAAAATATTGGTGATATTATGATAAACATTTTATCAGTTGAAACATTTTTGATATCTTTAACAAAAACCGAGATATATGGGCTCAAAGTTGACAGTGTGGAGGCCCTAATTTCCGTAAACACTAAAAAGAAGGCCACCCAAACAGTCAACTTTGAGCACAATTATCTGAATTCCTGTAACAGATATCAAAAAATTGTCAATTGGTAAAATAATTTTGATAGTATGATAAACATTTTAACAGTTAAAAACTTTTTGGTATCTTTTACAGTAACCGAGATAAATGAGCTCAAAATTGACGGTGTGGAAAATTGACGGTTTTCAGTCTTTCAAATTTCTAGTTACCTGAAAATTCTAAATTTTGGGGGCTACTGCATTTTTCTTAAATTTCTATAAATTCGGAAAATTTTTGAAATTTTGAATTTCTGGATTCCTGAAAATCTTGGATTTTCAGAATTTTGGATTTTATCGGGAATTCCTGGAAATCGAGACTTTTAAACTTCCAAATTACAGGTTTTCCGGACTCTTGGTTTCTTAGACACGTTGAAAATTTGTAGGCTACAACTATTCTAACTAATTAATAGTGGGATAATTAAAATCCAAATTAAGGGACCGTATCCCTGCGGTGCTATCTTACCCTATTTCCACTGATAGAAGCCTAACCAAACCGTTAACTTTGAGCTCAATTATCTGGGTCCCTGATAAAGATATGAAAAATCTGTCGACTGGTAAATATTGCTAATATTATGATAAACATTATGTCTGTTTATCACTTTTTCATATCTGTTACGGGAACTGAGATATTTAAGCTTAAAGTTTAAAGTATATTTTACAGTAAAACCTGGAATATAAAG